AGCCTTCGGGTTCAGGATTTCAGCCAGAATCTCGGGTTTAAGATTGAAGCACTAAGGATTTAGGCGTGGGGGAGACCCTCCGAACGCCTCAAAACAAACAGGGTTTCGGTTTTCGGATCTCGAATATAGTCACCCCGAAGTCCTGAATTTAGGGTTCATGGGCTTTGGGCTGAGTACTCCATCGCGTGGAGAAGCCTAGCAGGCCTAGCAAGCTGAGCCCAGATGACGCTGTGGCTCGTGCGTCCGGCCGTTTGCGGCATCGTCAACATCGCCGTAACGGCGAGCGCGTCTGTAAAAGTGACTATGGCACCGTAAGCCGCCGTGAGATTGGAACCTAGGAAGATGTAGGAGACTTGAGCATATTGCAACATCGGGGGATCAACAAAGCACATCTTGCTGTTAAGCGCCATACAAGTATGGACACTTAGGTGGGCGAAACCAGTTGCGAACCGATGACAGCCAGTCCTTGCCCAAACACGATCGGACTTTGGCGGCCAGGGCCGCATCCAGGTCACATTGGCCTTCGGCGCAATCGAAGCAAATGATCGGCTTCTCGTCTAAGAGCTGTAGAACTTCGTCCGGCTCCCACCTAGCCGTTTTCAGTTGAAAAGTCACCACATTCACCAGCTTCTGGCAGGTACCCCGCATGTCGACCAGCAGAAGCTGTGGACGACAGTCAAATTCGTGCTTCATTGCGCTGTTTGCCACTTCCACCCCTAGTGTCGGCAGTTCGTGTTTCCAAAACACAGAATCGTAGAGCGACCACTTTTCCGTTGGATCTAGGCCTTTGTTCAGGACAGCCACCACCGAGGGCTGTTTTTTTGAAGCCATTCCCTGCACGAAGGCACGGCTTGCGCTGCTCCAAAAGTTCACAACCGGACCTTGATCTATCCTCCACGCCTTGAAACAAGGTGTTGAAGCACCCGGATCGCCTCTGCAGCCAAGAAGATCGTTGTTGTTCCGGACCACTTTGCCCAGAACCGTGCTGGGGTGCACGATGCTCGCGTC